CGAAGGTGCCGACGAGGAACCGGACCCATGACCACTTTGCTGATTATTTGACGATCCATTGCTCGCATTGCTTCCGAGCGAGCTTGGGAAGGGCGACGTAGATTTGGGGCTGAGACTGAGCCCACCCAAGGAAGTGCCTACGGCTTCGATAGGCCTGAAGCACTGAGCCTCGGGATTGAAGGTCTTGGTAACTTCTCGATCGGCCGAGCTCTCGTCGTGTGGATCTCCGGTTTCAGAGTAGAGGATCTTCACCGCGTTCATTTCGCCAATTCGATAGCTCACCTCTCCGGGATCGACCCAGATGGCCAACTCGGCTGGTAGGTTCTCCAAGATATCCTGAATAGGCACGCCGCTCTCCTTGGCTGCCCGTTCCAAAACCGGATCCACTGGGTCGCCAGTCTTCAAACATCTGAACGCGGATCCTTTGAACGGTTTCTCCGGGTACCAGTGACCCTTGAACTTGTCCTTCAGCGCCTTTTCCAGTTCCTCGCCGAAGATATTGACTCGCCGTCGCGGCAGCTTATTGTAGAGGTACGATATCACGAAGTTGAGCGCCACCTGCACCTCCATGTGCATCTTGCCCTTTGCTGGGAGAATCTTCGGGCTGTTGCTGGTACTCGCAGCCGCGGAATAGTACTCAGCACGTCCGCACGATCGGCCGTTTTGCCGCCGACGCCTCGCGACTCCTTGATGATGCGCCACTGGACGACAGCAACGTCGACAGTGGCGTTGAAGATTTAGATCTGGTGTTGGGTGATCGTTCGACGATTCTCTCGGATTCACGAGACTGTAAAGAGAAATGTTACTTTCTTTAAAAATTTTGTACGTATCATAAGAAAAGAATTTTTATATTATTAACTTCGACTTTAAGTTTTTAAGCCTTTCAATCGATGGACACGTCGTTTTTCAACAGTGATAGTGATGTTCAAAAATATTTGATAATAATGGTTTGTAGAGAAGCTGAGACGCTAATTTGTAAAGACAGAAGTTAACACGTTCGCTACAGATAAAATATTTTTAGCAACGTATTTTCATAATTTTTAGAGTTACGAAGCAGTTGATGATACGAGATGATTTACAACAAAATTAATTAAAATTCTAATAATTTCTCCCAAGAAACAAAACATTTCGTTTCCTGTATAATAATTTAATACGTTTATCAATCTTATCAATCATGTCCTAAATTCTTGAACTTGTTTCTAAACAAATATCCTAATAATTATACATCGTACTGCAATCTATCATTTGTGACAGTATCGTAAACAATTCCAAAAGCGTAACAGCCTGTAACGAGATTCCAGGAAGAAAAAGTCACGTATAAAAATTCACGACTCACGCACAAAGGAGCTCTTTCTATCGAGCGTTCGAGTGATTTTCAATAAGTGCAAAATCAAATTAAAAGAGTGCCGGGACGAGTATCTTCGAAAGGTGGTCGCTTTTACCACGGCTGGGCTTGCGTTATCGGCTCCTTTTCACGATCGCGCATTGATACGGAACGCCGCTTCCGGTTACTCGGCCCGCTCTTTCATCCTCTCAACAGAACGTCGAATGAGAGCCAATCGTTCCCGTATTCGCATAATGCCCTTCCAGGCTTTCTGCGCCTCGCGACAAAGCCCTGAATTTTATCTGAATTCTCACCCTTTCTCGCTTTATCTGCTCGGTAATTTGGAACTCGTTTACGTGCCAAGAGAATCTTAATGATTGGCTTGGATAGAGTAGAAACGTCTTTCCCGTGAGTGATTTTGAAGAATTTTAACTAGTTTGATCGAAGATGATGATAAGTTAGAAATTCGCAGATGGTGTTGCAAAGATTCAAGATATTTATGCATTTACGGGAAACTTGAAAGTGTGAAATTCACATAACGCGTATATCTAAAATGAGAAAATATGTAAAATATCTAAAGCGGTAGCACTAGTTCCAATACTTGCCAATTGAAACAAATCTTCACAAAATGAATTTCCAAGAGCTATGTGAGAGTAACGATACGAACACACGTACATTCCGTCAACTCAGCACCGATTCATTACCCTAAAACTTCGCTTTCGACTATCTTAGATTTCCCCTGCCAACATCTATCTACGACATTGAACGTATCCACCAAAAACCCATCCACTCGGCGAAGTTCCGTCTAGTCACAATCAGTTCCGTGTCTACATCCGACAAAAATGCTCGAGAACAGAGACACTCAGACAGCGTAACTTCCTCAAGATCCTCATTTCCGCTCGGGCTGTCAGGTTAAAAGTCGCCCGAGAAACTTGCCAAGACTCGAAGAAGAGCCAAACTGTCCCTTCGAGAGACCGATTCGAAACGCGTCCACTCTCCTGCAACTCTCGTGAACGCTCGACATCGTATCGAGAGGAATATTCAGCTTGGCCGCCCGATTACCGTGAAACGAACGCCGATAAAAAGGGTTGCCCTTACTGGCGTGGCCGAGTGGACATCTTCCACGGTAGCATCTCGTCGCAATTGCGGAAGTTGCTCTCTGAACCTGAACGACATCGAGAGGGAAAGCCGTTCCTTTTGCTGCCTGCCCTCTTTGTCCTCCCTTTCCCTCACTTCTAGCCACTTCCTGCGTTTCTTTCCCCTCTTTCCACCCTTTGTATCCATTCCGCTCCCTTTGTTTCCCGTTATAAGTCAGTCTGTTCTTCCTTCACTCTGCTCTTCACCGTTTCATCACGAGCATCGTCTAGGAGTCGCGTTCCTATTCGCTTCTTGAGAATCGCTGGACGACCATCGAGGATCTTCTACGGTATGTCTTTCGGGTCTGTCTCTAGAAACTCGATTCCGACACGCCGATGTTCCTCCTTCTTTCATGACATAAGGAAGAAAGGGAGAGAGCAAGCAGGAGTTTCTAAGGAATTCACTGGACCGACTGCCATTTTGTTACGGTGGACGACGGAACGTTCGTAGCATTGATACTTTTACATTTTCCTTCTTTCTCTTTTTCTTTTTATCCTCTTACAGCTCTTTTCGGATTCAGAATCGTGAAACATAGGTATAGTTGGTACTTTGCTTAGAAACGGATCGTAGAATTACAGTTCTCTCTTTTTTTTTTTAATTAATCGCGAAGCGGTATGTTACTCTCGTCAAAAACTGAAGCAACACATATTATTTTTATTCTGATCTTCGTACGTCTGTCAATCACCATCGAAACTTTTTCCAACGCACCGTACGCATTTCTAAACCTAAAAGCGTTTCTCAACGTTGGAAAATCGAAATTTATAAACGTGAATTTTTATTTCCCTCGATGTATTCGCTTAGTATATTACAGTAATATTACCAGGCAGCGTTTATGTCTATAAAATGTAATTCAAGGATGAAAGGATAAACTGATTTTTTTTACTTTGTTTTCCCCTCTCATAACAGCACCGCAGAGGTACAGGGGTGAATTTTGTCCCTTCTAGCCGAAACGCAGCTGCAGACAACGCGGGACCATGGGTATTTTTTCAATTACGCGACTACAGACCGTCTTTGTGGTTAGTGCGCGGCTAGTTCGCACCCCCTGTTTGCGGTCTAAGCGTGAAAAAATACCCAGCTACCACGGGCGTTTTATCAGCGAATAAATAACCGGCGCTGTTTAAATTTTCCGCCGGAAGTCGCGAACACTCGCGTTGCGGCGAGGGGAATGAAAATGTTCAAGAGCAGACAAATTTCTTCATCTATCAAAGGCAAATTTCGCATTAACACGATATTCTATTTACAATCCCCTTTGTAGTCAACACAATTTGTTAAATTTTAGCTTTTAAAACTGTAAAAGGGAATTTCAATAATTTGATTTATATCTTTTTTCGTCGTTGTTTTCCATTTACAATGGATGGACGATGTTAAAATTTCCAGCCAAATTGTAGTCGTATTTCGGCATAAGTTATAAATATATTAATAAAATTTATTCTGCCAAGTTTTTCCAATATTATATTTTATATAATGTACTATATGCTATATATACTTGTACGGTAGATTTCTACTCGAGGAAATTTTTTGTTCTCACTGCATAATAAAATTACGGTTTGACACTACTTTTCCTTGGTAATTTCTATAATATATCGTAAACCAACATGTTTTCAAATTAATTCTATTCAAGTATGAATTTCTGCGATAAATTGATATATGTATTTAATATAATTGCTTATAAGGAATAAGAAACGTGTATGCAATTTTCAAGTCTATATTCTGCTCTATAGAGGATTAATAGCGCGTGGATCAGTATGCGGACGAATCAAAGTTGAATAGGATGTGAATGAATTGAACACATACACTTCATTCTCGTTTGGCATTGACGTTACAATTTAGGGTTTGTACAACCTTTACACACGACTACTTGCACAAATTAGCCGGCTTGATTTATGTAACTCGTTCACAATGCGCTGGACCATGTTTGTTTCCGTTCTCATGCACGTTACTTTTAATTTCCATCGATGCTTTCTTTCCATTCAACGTAACAAACAATCGTATAATTCTATCATAAATTTTTACTTTGGAACTGAAATATATAAAACATTGGAATACTGAAAAAAAAAGAAGAAACAAAGGCTTCGAAATGTTTCAACAATTTTCATGTAAATGTACAATTTTTGTTTCGATATTAAAAAATTCAATATATAAAAATATTAAATACCATCCACTTCAAAACACTACATCAATTTTCCTACGCTACTATACAATATAATATAATTTTCTTTTAGTATGTATACAAACAATCAAATAATTTCATAATTTCTTTTCTTTTCTTCCAAAACTAAAACACCGAAAGTATACGGATATTTGAAAGACGACCGCTTTAAAGCACTACATCGATCATTCTGATCTCCTAATTCGTTCAGCATTGACAACAAACCAAATACACAAACTTCCGTAATAATTCGTAACAATCTAATTTTTCTTCCAAAACTAAAACACCGAAAGTGCAAAAACATTCTAAAATCAGCCACTTGAAACAGCTATATTGCTCGCTACAACTCTGCGTTCTACAATTTCCAACTCTTTCACCATCAGCTCTCTTCCAGGCGAGCGCGCAACAAAATTACCAAAACCATCTCCGGCAAGTAGCCCCCATCTTTCTCGGGGCGAGTATCTTTCGAAACGCGACAGAGCTCATTCCTCAAGAGCCGTCGATACTTGCCAAGAAACGGAAGTGGAGTCTGAAACGCCTCTACCTATACACCATCTCTCCCCTCACGGAATTTCCCCTTTCGTTTCCAACCCCCACCGCGGCCGAGTCACCGTCCGAAGGGAAAATGTTTTCGTTTCAGCCAGCTCCTCTGGCAGCCAGTGGCTGGATATGTAGGTTAACCCCGCTGCACCCTTTCTGCCTCCAGTAGTACTACACGACGACAGGGTTGCCGGTGGTATTGATCCCGACCAGGGTTGCCGGAAGGTTCTCAAGTTAAAAATACACGGCCTTGCGAGTCGTGCGGCAACCAGGCGTTTTCGTGGGCTCCCTTTCGTCGTTGGATATTTTCCTCCTTCCCCAATGAAGGTACAAGGGGTGAGAGAGGGCGCGTTGAAGGTTTGGGACGATTAAGGGCAGCCAATAATTATCACGGAGGCAAGATCGCGGTGGACCAAGTTCAGCCGACCTCGAACGCTTTACGACGCGGTCTTAACAACTATCAAACAACTGCACCACAGAGTAACTACTAATTAAGAGGCAAGGCACTTGGGTCCACCTCGACTGACTGTAATTAAAAACGAATCGCGGAGACGAGCTACTGTGGACGTGTGAAATGTGACCTCTGAAAGCGACGTGGATAATTTTACAGCCACTTTTGGGAGGAATTTGTGGATAG